GTGTGTGTGTGTGTGTGTGTGTGTGCCAATATGCAGGCTGGCGGAGTCGCTGGACGGGGAGGCCTATCAGGAGCTGAGGCAGTTCCTGAAGGCCAGGGCCATCCCCGTCCTGTCGGCCAGGCAGCACGCCACGCTGCAGGGACTCATCGAGTACGACTCCGGGGTGTGGAAGGTCGGCACCTGGGAGCTGGGAGAGGGAGACACCTTCCCGGGATGATCTCTGTCTGTGTCTCTCTGTTTGTGTGTGTGTTGGGTGTGATGCAGAGGTCGTGCTTCGGCGAGATCCTGGCGTCCTTACGCCAGCAGGGGGTTGCGCCGTCGCACGCCCTGTCGATCGGCGACGCCGAGCACGACCTCAGCGCCCTGGAGCGGAATAAAGAGTAGGGCTCGATGGAGCCAGCGTCGCACACACATACACACACACACACACACACACACACGGCTTTGTTTGTGGCTTTGTGGGCTCAGGTACCTGCAGCACGGCGGCATCATGACGAAGGTGCAGCTCAAGGACCAGCCCACTGCAGACGACCTCGCCGTGGTCACACACCGAGACTCACACAGACGGAAGCGGTTGATTGATGCGATGCGGTCGTCCGTGCTGCCTTGCTTGTGTCTGTCTTTGATGCACTGCAGCAACACTCGGTGCTGACCACCTGCCTAGACGAGCTGCTTGAGGACGACCAGACGGACAACTATGAGATGGCACAGATAACACACACATCCACACGCCGCACCTCTTTATGCCTTTTGTGGTGTGTGTGTGTGTGTTTGGTGGGAGTAGGCGTTTGAGAGGGAGAAGGGCGAGGACGGCGCCTTCGTGGGTGTGAGCCTCACGGCCATCGAGGACCCCAACATGAAGGACCCCGAGACCTAGTGGGTGTAGTGAAGGGCCGGCCACCCAATACACACGCATACACACATCCACACAAAGAGACATGTCTCCTCCTTCCTCTCTGTCATTTCTTTGTCGACTCCAGCTTTTCGATGTTTGACGAGGACACCACCACCATCTGCCCCCCCACCGCAAGCCCCTCACAGAGCATCGCACTCATCAACATATGGGACCACCAGCAGCCGACTGGCAGCTGCAGCGGGACTGCCAAACGCAAGAGGGACACTGACACTGACACTGGCGCTGAGGGTGTCGAGGGCGAGGGGACGGCGAAGCACCTGCGTCCCGCAGGGGACTGTGATAACCATCTGGGGTGGGGCGACAGAGAGAGCGAGATGGCCGCCCTGCAGCAGATGCTGAGCTGGTACGAGGAGGACGGTGAGAGCGAGTCGTCGGAGGGGAGCAGCGACGATTCCTCGTCAGAGGAGGAGAGTGAGAGGTCTGATACAGACGGTGAGGGGGAGCTGCAGAAGGGGGAGTGAATCCGTACATGGACAAGGCAGGTGGGCTGGGCGGGATGGCTGCGGGTACGAGAGAGAGTGTGTGTGGGTGATGTGAGTGACTAGACAGACAGAGAGACCCTCATCGGCTGCCTTGCCGGCCGGCCTGGATTCATGGATGGATGGATGGATGAACGGTGTCATCAGAGACAGACAGTGCTCATGGATGGTGTCAGACGAGAGATTGACTTGCCTGCAGCACTGACGTCAAGACGTCACGGTCTATCCATTCCATTGGTCCTCCGAGCGTCCCTCCCCTGTCAGTCAGTCAGTCTGGCTGGCCATCCCTCACTAACTACACCCATCCCTCAACCCCCGCCCTGACGAGAAACCTCCGACGCACAATCCTCAATCAGTTACCGACCGCTCACACGCATGCACGCACACAGAACAAACCAACAGCGAGAGAAAGGGAAACAAACCGAACAGTCATGAGCCCGCACGTTGATGCGTTCATGCCCGCCGGTGTGTCGTCACAGGAAAGGCGGGCATCACCAGCATCAGGGAGGGAGGGAGGAAGGGAAAACCCATCCGTCATGGGTGGATAGGGGTGGGAAGCGGGGGGAGGGGGGGACACGGCAACACACAGGCATTCACACAGAATACACACAGAGGGGGACGGGTGGTAGAGTGGAGACGAGGGTGTACCCACAGACAAACACGGAGCGCCCCTTCAACGGTATTCCCAATGAAGGAGCAGCCACAGACAACATCCATACGCACAGATGAAGACGAGTAGCCCTGTCCATCCGTAGGCGGTCGCATCGGCAGTACCGTTTATCCACCCTGCCCACACCCAAACCCAAGATCGCTCACAAGCAATCTGGGAGCGGGGTAGGGGGCGGCTGGTACAACACTACTACCCCCGGACAGCCAGATGGACAACCAGCTCTTGGCCCCCACCAACCATCAGAAACAGAAATGCACTCCGCAACCACGGGGCAGACATCTTGCTGAGATGTAGCTCTCTTTCCCCCCTCGCTTGACTGACCGGTTACCCCCCTCAGGCACCAGCCCCCATCTGATGCAAATGCCACATGCTTAGGCGACATCCACAACTGATGCAGTCAGGTGAGTGAGGGAAGGTGACCGACGCTGTCGGTCGGCATGCCGAGGGACGCTAGGTAACACGAGACAATGAGTGATGTGTGAATGAATGGACGCGGAAAAACTCGCTGATGGAAGCGAAGCCATCCCTCTCGTACTCATCTCTATCTCTCTTTGTCTGATCTCTTCCTCTCTCTGGTGGTGCGTCCGCACACTATCGGCCAATATGTGTACGGTACGCGCATCGCATCGCATTGGGTCCAGTCCAGTGCAATGAATGAGGGACCCCTCTTAGAAGGAATGCATGACGCTGTGTGGCTCTCTCCCAACAAGCGGAAGGTGGGCAAATGCTCTCTCTCTCTCTCTCTCTCTGCCTCTCTTCTGAAGCCTCATAGTGACGACGGGTGGAGTGGGGGAGCCGCAGGGGTGACGGGTGGAAGGAGGGGGGACAGATAGAGTGATACACAGGGAGGGAGCCATAGGAATCAAGACACCGAACAGACATACGGGGGGCTTCCACTGGGGAGTACAGACAGACATCCACTCGTGCAAGGGGACACACACACACACACACACATACATACACCACACCACACCACACATACGGGCACTTATGCGATGGATGGATGGATGTGGGACTACAAAACGACGATGTCGTCGATGCGATAGCTACATGTAAAGAGATCATGCAGCTAGTTAGAATGTAATGTGATGGAGCAATGCGCGCTTCCCCAGACAAACCGGGCGCACGCACACGCCATACCACAGGCAGAGACTTAAGGGGACAGACAGACAGACATACCGACCGACCGACAGAGAGAGACACACATAGACAGACAGCGAGACACACAGCCTACTAGAAACATGGACACACAGAACAGCCACTCACACACAGCCCCCTCTCTCCTCTCTCCTCATCTCATCCAAACCGGCATCTCTCTGCCCAATCGCAATCTCTCGCATCCCATATGTGTGTGTGTGTGATTCTCTACGCGACGGTCTCGATGGCCTCCATGGGAATGGGCCCGATGGCGCCCACCCATCCGTTAAGCCCCGTGCTGTCCTCATCCTCGAGACGGAACATCTGATCGTCTGGTCACACACACACACACACACAACACAGAGACGGTCATTCGTCAGTTGGCTGTGATGAGAGGGTGTCCTGTGGGTGTGGGTGGGGGTGGGTGTGGGCGTGGGCGTCTTACTCTCTCCGTAAGGATGCTGGCACACCGCACTCAGGTAGGCGAAGCCGTTGATGTTGGTGTTCCTGCGTATTCATGACACATCCATCCATCCATCAAACACAAAGCACGTCGCTGAGTGTGTGGCCACAATCCATCCATCCACACCAGTAGACAGCGGTGGTCTCAGCGCCGAACGGGCAGGTGAAGATGCGCGTCAGTTCGGTCTTGTTGCCCAGCTGCGCACACACATTGACACACACACACACACATATGCGGCCAAGTGTGGCCATCAAGAGAGCGACACATGCGCACCTGGTCGTCCCACATGAAGTTGTTGATGTGGTAGCCGGTGTCCTCGCCAATCACCAGCACCTTGAACGAGGGGATGAACGCGATGTTGTCGGGGTTGCTGCACCCAGTCAACATCACCACACACAGCCACACACAGGGAGCCGATCAGACTCGCCTGACCGTGCTGTCAACACACGCACCTGATGCCCGCGACGTCGCAATAGTTCTCTGGTACGGTCGTGTTCGGACGGCCGCACACCTTCACACACACACACACACACACACGTATGTGTTGAGACAGACAGGATTGCACGCGTGTGTTGTGTTGTGTGGATCTCATCCCACTCACCTCAGGGTACATCCTGACGGTGGTATACTCGGAGATGTCGGTGGCCTCGACCGGCAGAGCGTACACACAACCACACTGGACACACACGCACACACACAGACGCGGGCCCATGAAGGGGGGGCCAACATGGCGACCGACACGCACGCGTGTGTACCCACCTGGTTGTACTCGACGGTGATGGCGTTGGGGCCGCCGATGTCGTATTGCAGGTCGGGCTCTGAAGGCGCACCACACACACACATACAGACAGACAGACACCTCGATGTGCAGGTGGGTTGCAGACGCCGACACAGACACACACACTCACCGCCCTTCCTCTTGTTGTCCTCCATGCCGTAGCGCACGTCGCTCATCGCTATGTACAGGCTGACAGTCATCACACACACGTGCTTGCAGGTGTCCATGTCTGTCTGTCTGTCTGTCTGCTGCTCACATGCTCAGCTCGGGGGCGAAGGTCATGCCTTCCCACTGCACACAAGAACACACACCACACACAAACGCCCTCGTACCTCTCTCTGTCCACAGACATTGTCTTGTCTGGATGCAGTGGAAGGCACGCACCTTGCTGAACTCGGTCGTGCCGCCGAGCATGGCGGAGTATCTTCTGGCCTCGAAGAAGGCCGCCGCCACCTCCATGCCCTCACGCAGACTCAGGCACTCCCAACCTGGGATGGATGCGCGCACCAACACACACACAGAGCTCACACACGTGCACAGCGGTAGTGTGTGTGTGTGTGTGTGTTGTGTATACAGGTGTACCGTTGAGCGTGTTGATGGACGTGAACCCGTCTTCGCAGCTCTCGGTCTCCTCGATGGGCTCAGACACGTCAAAGATATCGAAGAACGTCGTGTTGGCCTCAATCAGCTGCACACACACACATCCCACTGATTTGTGCCCCCGGATGGATGGATGGACGGACGGATGCCTACCGCAGCGAGTTCGTCCTGCGTGGCGTGGCCCAGCTTGATCCACTCGATGTCGAACTCCCCGCCGCCCTGCAACGTGGGAGCGAACGTGCATTCACACACACACGTGTGCATGGTGGTGGGTGGGGATGAGTGGGAAAGTACCGTGCTGTTGGTCTGCGTGAACTTGGCGGCGTAGAGGGTGGCCGACGAGTAGTCGTGGGGAGTGTCGAGCACCGCCATGTGCCTGCATAAACAAACGCACCAGACACGCATCGCGTGTGTGTGCGTGTGTGTGCGCGTGTCCGTCACGGGAGTGTGTCTTCGTGGTTTTACCATACGACATTGGTGCCGTCGTCGCTCATGTAGACGGTGACATTGTCGGGCATCATGTAGCCGAGCTCGTTGGACCGACGACCTGCGTGACGTGTGTGCAAGTGGGGGTGTGGTGTAGGTCACCGTCTATGTGTGTGTGAGGGTCGACGTACCGAGAGCATAGTACTTGCTGACATTGGCGTTGCCCTGGTCATCGAGGTCCATCTGACATACATACACACACGCGTGTCGTGTGATCGTGTGACGCATGGGATAATGGGCGTGAGGGTGCGGTGCATGCTATGCTATGCTATGCTATGTGCAGAGAGAGACATCTAGTCTAGTGGGTCGGTGCGTTCGTTCTCCCTCCCACCCCCCTGCCCTACCCCGACAATGTATCCGTATTTGTAGGGGTTGAAGGTGCTCTTGATCGCGTCGGCCGTCAGGTTGACCTCGTTGTAGTAGCCGAAATACCTACACACACACACACACACACACACCCATATAGGTCCACTCCACGCCACAGCCACAAGATACCCACCCTCACCCGACCGACTCACCTCATGTAGTCGATGATGTCTTGCATCTCCGAGGTGGCATCGGCGAGGCCCTCCTCAGTCAGCTCCATCACCGAGCGGGCGTCAGGCTCGTACTCCTCCCCCAGCAGCCGCGTGCCGGCAGGGGTGACAGAGCCCGCACACGGGATCTGCACATCAATCATTTTTGCACACGTGCATACAGGTTGTGGTCTTCTTGGCTCACTCCATCCGCTCACCCAGAGGCCGCCCCATTCGGCGAAGTCGATGCGCTCGCTCTCCACCGCTGTCAGGTTGCCGTTCTCACTCTGCGCCAACCTCACCTGCACACACATCACATCACACCACATCACATGACCTCACGCAATCCGACAGGCGGGCCATTTGACTGACGGACGGACGGACTGACCTTGTAGAGCTCGCCAGGACGGGGCCTCTCGAATTGGGTGACCTGCATTGGATGCATCACCACACACACAAGCACACCAATGTTGTCTCGTCTCGATGTATCTGTATTATCTCGTTTGGAGCATGTGGGCACCATCCATACCATGTAGACCGTCCCGTCGGGCGTGACGTGGAAAGAGGAGAAGTCGGGGTCGTGCGCTATCGTCGGCGTGAAGGTGCCGTCATCCGCCATCTAAACCAGGGAACCGACCAGCCACAGCACAGCACAGACGAGTAAGCACATGTGTGTGTGTGTGCGTGTGTGTGCGGCTGGCTCGCTAACGTCATAGACGGGTGTGTTGTTGACGTTCATGACGGCTCCGAAGGTGTCGCCCTCATAGGGGTGCTCCTCACGCCACTCGGGGCCATCTGCAGGCACCCACACACCAAGACAGACACACACGACAAACGTGTGTAATAATTGGGCTGTACGGGTGGCGAGTGCGTAGACTGTCCGGCTGGCTAGCTGGCTGACCTCTGAGGATGTTCATGAAGGAGACGTTGTAGTCCCTGCCGTTGATCGTCACCCTCTCGGTGCCCAACACTGCACACACACCACACCCACAAGACACGACAGCCACACAGAGACAAGGTCAAACTATCGACTGACAGATCTGCGCCCCCCAGTCGAATGCACTGCACGCATCCATCTTCCGCGCACGACCCCCCTCCCCACTGCCATGCGTCCCACCCCCCGCATGCCGCCCTTCTGTGCTCACCCTGGTGCTGCTGCTCCTTTTCGGGCAGCGGCACATTCTGGAAATGCATCGAGGGATCCGCGACCTGGCACCTCACCACGCCCACCGACGCCAGCAGCAGCGTCAACACAGCCGTTGCGAAAGTCATCCCGTGTGCGAAGGGGGAGAGGGTGGAAGGGCGGTGGGAGGCGGTAGATGAAGGGCGGGGCGGTGACAGGTGCGATATGGGCAGGGAGATCCGGCCTAGATCCGGCGGAAAGGAGGAGACAGGGGTGCGAAGATTTCAAGCTCGCAGCGGCTTCAAGCTCGCAAAAAGGCGGGAGAGGAGAGAGGAGGGGTGTGGAGAGAGGTAGGCGTTCACCACGGGGGATCGCCACTGGATCTGCTATGACGAGCTTCGTTCGCTTGAATGTCGGCGGTCGTGAGTTCAGTGTGGCGAAGTCGACACTGGCCATACACCCACACACCCTGCTGGGGCAACTGGTGACCAACGAGTCGACGGCCGAATACCAGCAGATCCAGCAAGGCCAGCCCGTCTTCATCGACCGAGACCCGGCGCTGTTTTCCCATGTACTCGACTACTACCGGGATGGACTGCCTCTGCTCATCGACGCCTCCGTCGACACGCGCAAGCTGATCCGCGAGATGCGCTTCTTCGGCATCGATGTAACCACACGCACACCGCACGAGCACACACTCGTTCGCCCGCAGCCACTGAGATGCGATTCGTTGCTGATATGTGCATCAGGTGTCTGAGAGTGATTTGCAGGGCCCGCCGCCATCGGAACAGGAGCGAGCCTCGCGGAGGGAGGCGACGATGCGGCGCGTGGCCAACAAGGTCACACTGGGGCTTCTGGCCCGGTTGCGCCGGGATATCACCAGCACAGGCAGCTGGGCAGAGGTCCAATATGATCAGCTGATCGTCGCCGCGGCTGAGTGGGTTGGGGGGCCAGAGGCGGCGGAGATCAGGGCTTTCCCAGGCGACATAGGCAAGGTTGCCATGCTGTTTGGCATGGTGCGCCAGGAGATGGAGAGGGAGGCTGTGGGGTTCCGCTTCGCCCTGATCCCGACAGTGAACAAGACAGTCGTTGTCAAGATCTATCGGGCACGCAAATGACACAACGCATCGTGAATGACGTTGTGTCATTTGCTGTTGCGTGTGGTGTGGTGTGCTTTCTCCTCAGGCCAACGCATGAGTCCTGTCCCACCAACCCCAGTGGCACAACCGCCCGCGGCTGCCTGGCCAGCAGAGTAGATCATGTAGCAGAGTCAGCTGCTGTGTAGACCGCTGCCTGTTCAGAGTACTGATTGGTTGCATTAGCTCATGTAAGTATCACTGACAGCTGACCACATCACGGAGCTGTTTGGGTGTGAAAGAAAGATGGTGTACGCGTCTATATAAGAAAGCGACACGGGGTCTCGTGCGCTCTGCCGCCATTGCTTGGGTTGTTCCACTGTGGACCACCGTCAGTGTGCGTCCGCAGTGTTGCTAAGGGGATCTCCCCAACATCCTCAAGGGTCTTTAGCTCAGTGGTAGAGCGGCTGACTGCAGATCAGCAGGTCCCTGGTTCGAACCCGGGAGGGCCCTTTATTACGGGGCGCTGATTTTGGCTTGACGGATTCTTCTCCACACGAAGACAACGAAGACACTCAGTCCAACGCACGCCAAAGCATGCAACTACTTACTCTCACACAGAGGTCGGTGACGATCCGCCGGCCAGCGTGGCAAGTCTCGCCACATGTGCGCGGCCAATCGACTCTCCCTCCCTGCCTGCCTGCCTGCCTGCCTCCTCCAGCGGCACCAAAAGGTTGGTCGTTGTCGGCCGTCGTGGCTGACCGTCACACAGAGGCGATGGGTCAATGCAACTGTGCTCCGTTGGGACAAAGGGGGGACAGACCTACGTAGAGACAGACAGACAGACAGACAGACAGAAATGCACTGACTCTCCGTGATTTGCATCGGCCCAATGGGGGACGGCAGTGGTGCCTGACTCCCCGCCCCGTCCTCATCGTCGACAAAACAAGAAAGAGCACACGTACGGATCTTGTCTGCGTCAGTTGGATCTGACGTAGGTGGATGGATGGATGTGTTCGAGTTGAGGGAAGACCCCCAGAGGACGGCCCTGCGCGACTGCTGCGACAGGACGAGTGCATACACCTACCCTGCCGGGTTGCAAGTTTCTTTGTGTGGCCGGATATATATAAAAGTTGACGAATACACCGAGTGAGTCATCATGATGTCCTAGTCATTCAGATGGAGCCCACACACAGGCATCCCATCATGTGGCCGGCTACTTAATTACAGATGCACAGATGCAGCGTGTCGGCCAATGCATACACACATACGCATATGCACGTGGAATGACTGCACATCTGTAGCGTCTGCCTGCCTGCCTGCCTGCCTGTCCTCCTCTCTCCTCTCCTCTCCTCTCGCCCCTTTACACCACACACATTTGTTGCGCAAGTGAGCAGCCAACCAGCCCATCTGAGCGACAGAGCAGTCAGCCATTAATTAGATAACACACACCACACCACACCAAACCACATCTGCACTGGTTCTGCACACATCCATCCATCCATCCATCGTGGTCATGTCCATGCATGGACGTACAGTACACGCACTCTTCTGTCTGTACCAATCCATGCCACCCATGCACACACGACACGCAACGCCATGCAATGCCGATGAGATGACCCCTACCTATATACACCTTCATGTGCACGAAAAAGTGAGCGCCGTACACACGCAATCATACCACTTGCCACCACATCCTATCCCTTCACTCACAAACGCCCACCCGCACGCCCACCCGCCCGCCCACATCTCACTAGACACCTTTCCCTGGCGAGTGCTGCCCATCCTTACTAATCCCCATCAACCTCTCCTTCTCCGCAGTGGGCTCTGGCGCCTGCTCCGTCCACAGTGGGCTCCTCCTCGCACCATTGGTCATGCCCATCTCATAGTCGCCCTCCTTCTCCGATGCGCTCGTCTTCTCCACCATGGTCATCTCCGTCTCGCTCGACGCTAGGCCCTTCTCGGCCGCTGACGGGGACTTGCCCTTCTTGTCCATCAGACCAGCGCCGCCGCCCGCGCCCATCTTGCCCTTCTGCCGCTCCTGCTCCTTCCACTTGCGCATCTCGGCCGAGTACCAGAAGGCGCCGATGGCCGTGGTGATGATGCCCACCCCCAGTGTGGGTGACATGACGCCGCCCAGCATGTAGACGCTCAGCACGCAGGTCAGCACCTGCTTGACGTTGCCCGCGATGTTCATCGTCAGGGGCGCCACGAGGGCCGCCGTGCGGAAGGACACAAAATTGAGGAAGAAGGCCACCCAGCCGAGAATGAACAGATGGCCGACGAGCACCCAGCTCATGTTGGGGTCCACCAAACACCGGCCCACCTCGCCGAACACCCAGGAAAGACAGAGCAGCTGGACGGCGGCGAGCGGGCAGAGATAGCGGAGGAGGTCGAGGGACGACAGGCCGAGTGAGCCCACTTGTGTCTGCTGGGTGATGATGCCCTTGATGGCCGCGATGGCCGAGCCGAACACCGTCAAGGCGAGCCCGAAGAGGTCGAAGCCCACCTCGCCCTTGATGGTGCAGGCGACGCCGAACATGACGATGAGGATCGCGGGGAGGAGCTTCAGGGGGTATCTGGTGCGGAGGGCGACGAAGGAGATGACCATGGTGAAGAGGGGCACGGTGGTGCGGACCACCTGGTGCAGGTTGACCGACACGGCCATCAGCGAGGCGTTGCTCATCCAGATGTTGACCGTGAAGATGACACTGAACCAGCTGACCACCTTCCATCCGGCCTTGGACAGCGGCTTGGGCGAGTAGGCGCCGAACAGTGCCGCGAGGTTGACGCCCAGCGTGGTGAAGACCATGTGTACGGTGGTCATGAGGAGGGGGTAGGGGAACTTGTAGATGCTGAACAGCGCCTTGCAGTACAGCGTGATGATCACGTTGAACCAGAACCACGCGTTGAGATAAAACAGACCCGTCATCTTGCCGGACAGCATAGACGACGACAGCGGCTCCGACGTAGCGGGGGCAGGCTGCTTGTGCAGAAGACTCGAGGTGCTGATGCTGCTCTTCCCTTCCCCGCTTGACATGGCGCGACGCTCTCGCAGCACCGCCAGCTATAGACTCGGGTAGAAAATTGCCTTGCCGTTGTGGTGCTGGTTGCCCCTCTCGCGTACAGTCGTCCCGAATCGGAATACGTACTTTTCAGGTGACAGCGGTGAGCCCTAGCCCAGAGGGGACAGAAATACTGGGACATGGTCTCAACTTTCCTCGCCGGGACGACTTTCCTCCTTTTCCAGCTCCTCTGTCACGCTGATGAGGGCGACGCCTTCGTCCGTGTCCCTCCCGACATCGGCCAGCCTGACGCGGTGGTGCCCGACGAGGATCCCTACGACTTCAACAAAGCCACAGTGGCCCTCGCCACGGCCGAGTACACGACCGTGATTGACAAGGCGACGGGCCTCAGCTGGCCAGTGGAGACCAAGAAACAGCCCCATGGCGGCTACGAGTACCTGTTCCCCGTCCCTGGCGCCAAATACGTGTCGCGGCACACGACCATTGCCGTGAGGGATGGGCGGAAGGTGGACGACCTCAGTGGTAAAGCCGGTGCGATCACTGTTACTGGGGCGGGTGGCCGGGCGGTGGGGGGCACGCTGGTCCTGGCTGATGACCGCAAGACCGTCATCTTCGCGCCGACGGAGCCCTTTCAGCCGCTGGAGGGTGTCACCGTCAGCATCAATCAGCAGCTGTCGCCAAGCTGGGGAGGGGGTGAGGAGGGAGATCACGCCTTCGAGTGGACATTCAGCACTGCGGCATCGGCCACCGCCGCCCTTGGCGTCTCGGAGGCCGTGCAATGGGAGGCTGATTTTTCGCAGGACCACAGGTCATGCGCCATGAGCCCCAATGAGACCATCGGAGCAGATGCAGCCCCCCAGCGCAAGCAGGGGAGGAGGAAGGGGAAAGGGAGGAGGAAGGGGAAAGGCAAAGGCAAAAAGGACAAGAAGCTCAATGAGGATAAACCGGACGACGACCCGTCGATCATCCGCTACCCCAGGCCATGGTACCGCACCGTCTCTCAAGAGTTCCCCGTTTATGAGGCTTACGTCGACAACGGGGCGGCGGCAGGCAGCCGTGCCAAGGGCAGCAATCCCGACTCCGCACCGGCCTTCCTGTCCCCCTCCCCGCCGCCTTCCCTTATGCCCGGCGACGCGCCCCTCCATTTTTTTGGCGACATGCTGCCCCACCCGTACGTGGTCATTTTGGACGGAGCTGGCGACATTGTCTACCACCGCCGGCTGCTGGATGGCACGGTGGGATCGGACTTCCGCGTGCAGCCCAATGGCCGTCTCAACTACCTGAATGGCGCCAGGAAATGGACGTTCCGAGACCCGAATCGCCATGGGGTGGAGATGAGCCTCTCCTACGAGCCTGTGGCCGAGCACAGGGCTCGGCACGGATATCTGAGTGACAACCACCACATGGACTTGATGGCCGACGGACGTGTGCTGACGTGTGTGTATGACTGGCAGCGGGCGGTGCCTATCGACTCGGCCGACGGCATTGCGGGGGTGGTGGTGCAGGAGACGGACAAGACAGGCAACGTCATATTTGAGGTGCGGTGGCATGCCATGGACACATCCACTCCCACTCCCATTCACACACTCTCTCGTGTGCTGTGCTGTGCTGTGCTGTGTGTGCTGCGTCGTGCTGCAGTGGCGTGCGTTGGACTATCTGGAGGTGCCTCGGCCAGAGCACCAGCCGCACCAGCGTGGCGACCAGCCCGGTGATTTCTTCCACATCAACAACTGCGAGTACACCCCCGACGGCCACATCATCATCTCGCTCAAGGACTTCCACCAAGCCATCCTGATCAGCAGACAAGTAAGTAACCATCCTACCTACCTCACCCCACATACATATCACCCGTACTCTTTCTCTCACACCCATTCGCTCGTGTGAGCTGCAGACGGGCAAGATCCTGTGGAAGCTCGGCGGGCGTGATTCGACCTTCACGTTCACCAACGAGGAGTGGGGCGAGATGCCGTTCCGCCGGCAGCACAAGGCGCACCAGCTGGGGAATGGCAATGTGCTCATGTGGGACAACTGGGAGGAGGAGGTGCCCGGCGGAGCGCCCGAGGGCAGGCGGTGGTCAAGGGCGGTGGAGTACCAGCTGGACCTCGACAAGAAGACTGCTACCAAAGGTGACTGACTGACCAGTGATTATTGGGCTATGTCATGCAGCAATGGTGTCTTTGTGTGCGGTTGGTTGGTTGGGATGTGTGTATGTATGTCAGTCTGGGAGTACACCCCCTCCCCTCCTCTGTACTCTCGCTGCTGCGGCAGCATCCAGCGGATGCACAACGGCAACACGGCAATGGCACTAGGTAGGTGGAAGGGAATGCAGGGAGGGAGGCAGGCAGGCGAGCTACACACGCACAACCGTCCATCTTTGTGCCGTGCAGGTGCGGTGCCTCGCAAGGAGAACAACCCCTTCTTTCTGGAGGTGTCGCCCGACGGCCACATCGTCCGCCAACTCACCTCCAACAGCGCACGCTCATTCCGCGCCTTCATGATGCCCTTCAGAGGCACCTCCAGCCAGCCGGCCAGACTGGTGGTGTGCGACGACGGTGGGCTGGGGCAGGAGGTGGGGGCCACGCTGCACATGTCAGCCAACGGTGTGAGCGGCATCGTGCGGTGGGAGGTGTACGGCAGTCGTGATAGGGCAGCGCTGGAGACCATGGAGAAAAGACTTCTCAGGAAGAGTATCACGTGAGCTGCAGACACAGATGTGCACTTTAATAGTCAACGTGGCTGGGGTGTGGTGTGGTGTGTGGTGTGGTGTGGTGTTGCTCCCATGCAACGGACTGCAGCCGTCGGTACTACGAGCACGCCATCCCGCTTAGCGACGTCCTGCCGGCGGAAAAGAAAGAGGGCGACTTTTACCTGAGGGCTGTGCCCATCGTCGGTGAAGACGAGAAGAAGGGCGTGGCTTCCAAAGTGCTCAGACGTAAGCGCCTCCAAACAACACATTCACACATGTGTATGTGGGCACGTCCGTCCCCCTCTCTCTCTCTCTCTCTCTCTCTCTGCGTGTGGGCACTGATGGCGTCAGTTCGGCTGTCCCACCCACACGCCCTGGCCTGCCGATGCTTCGACTTCGACATTGCCCACATAGCTGACGAGAAATCCGTCATCAAGACTATGCAGATCGCTCACAAGGGCGGCCCCTCTCTGCTGGTGATGGAGAGAATGGCGAGGTGCCGGCAGGCATGCACGAAACCGTCGTGCAAGTCATTTTCGTTTGATGAGAAGACCGGCGAGTGTCGGCTGCTGAGCAAGGCGGGCACGAGGGAGGCCAGGGGCGGGAGTGTCTCTGGACTGGCGGAGTGCGAGCCGGCGACGATTGACTGATTGAACGGCTGGCCGGCCAAGTGGGGTGTGCGTTTTGTACTCAAGTGTGTGTATGTGTGTATGTGTCGTCTGTACTGTGTCTGTCGTCTGTCGCTGGCATATTTGTCCACCTGTGGCCGCGTATTTGTGTATTCATTTGTGGACTCTCTCTTGGCGTGCCTGCATTGCTATGTGCGGGACACTAGTGTTAGTGTGTGTGGTGTGCAGGGAATTCATTCATGCTCATTGGGGTGGGTGGATGCAATGCATGGCCGGATGCATGTAGTGATGTGTCGAGTCGAAGTGGTGTGATATCAATGTCTTGACTGACATATAGCCATGAAGGAATGAAGGAATGAGCCGTGTACATAGCCACATAACATAAAAACACGAGACACGCATACAGTATATCCACACATCACATGCACGTCAATCCGCTCACATCAATGAATCAGCCAGCCAGACAGCCACGCACATGGGAGGGAGAGTGAGCAGCCGTGCCGTGGCCACAACAGAAGTACCAAGTGCTGCTGGCTGTGTACGTACGTGGTGTGAATGGTCGCTTCACACTCATGTACACAGTTCCTGCCTTGAATGAGCTGTTCGTTGTCTGTTCTCTGATGGATGGATAAACCTATCCCCTGTCTCATTACGTCGTGCTGATGGCAGCTAACGGGAAAACCGCTCCCATCTCCTAAGTGTGTGTCAGGCGAGGGGGTGCGTGCTGGTGAGTGGGTGACAGGCTAGAGGGAATGGCCAGCTAGGGGGGTGGGCAGGCCGGCGGTGCTCTCAGCGGACGGTGCACATCACAATACAAACGACGCTACCTAGAAGGCAATCCAGCCAGCCAGCCAGCCAGGCAGGAGAAAGCGTGAGGAAGAGAAGGGAAAAGACGACGAGCGAGCAGGCAGACACCGACACCCCATTCCCCTCTCTCCCATTATCTCCTTCCGTCTTGAGTTTCCCTGTTGAGTTCCCCTCTTGTCTCCCTATCAGATTCCGTTGTTGTATTTGGCGTTGGCGTGTTTGTTGTTGCACACCACGCTGGGGCCGGCTTTCTTGATCTTCTCCGCCAGCACCGATGCCATCTTTTCGGCCACCGGAGCCCTTGCCATGGGCAACTCGTGCTCACGCAACGTCACACGCTGCAGCCGGGAGGTCTTGTTGCCGCTCACCGGCGCACTGGCTGCTGCAGCCGATGATGACGCACTCTGAGAGGCGTCGTGAGGCAGACCAACCTGCATGCACAAAGAAAAGAGACGTCACATTTGTGTCCATTGGCTTAGCTCTCGCTCGCTTCCTCACCTTGCTGCCCGTGGTGTTGTTCTCTTTGCCCTGGTTCCCATTGTTGTCGTCCGGGGCCGCCTGGCCACCACCGGCGGCCGTCCACATGCGACGCTGACTCGTCTCGTCCCGGACGGACCAGCCCACATGTGCATCGCTGCCGCTTGCGCTGCTAGACTCCTGCTGTGGGGCTGCTGCGGCACCCTGCTCTTGGTCCATGGCGCGGTTCCGCTGACGTCGAGCGGCACGACGTCGCCGGCTTGTGGGCTCTTTCTTGACGTCCTCTGTCATGGGCTGCGGCAGGGGCATCATATCAGGGTTGTGAGCCCCCATCACGTAGGCGAATCGCATGAGGAAGAAGAATGCCTTGGGCCAGGCGTGGAAACGCTGCGGCATGCTGACGGGACGGATAGTTGTGCTCCTTGGACGATGTCGCAACGATGCGACTGTAACAGTTGAAGAGAGCGCTTGCAGTTCAAACTCGAAGCCGAACAGCTGAGGACCTTGGGAAGCGCGGCGTTCAGCGAGCTCAAAATGGGGCCCCATTGCAATCCGCCCCTCCACCCCGTTCTTCGCCGTCAAATACGCGAATGAACGCCGCTGCTGATCAATCCGCTGCTGAACCCGGCCCGGCAGAGTCACAGAAGACAACTGAACACTGTCAACCGCTTCCGCTCCCTATCCCGGAGTCGGTCCTTGCTCACCTGCCCTGCATTCCGCGCACCTCCCCTTCACTCAGAGCACGCAAACGCCTCCTCAACTTCGTCCACAACACGCCAATACTCGACGAACACTATCGCATCGACGCAGAGGAGGTCGCGGTCTTCAGCGGCGGACATGTGAGCACATTTTGTCCATGCGCGGAGGGCAAGGCGAGAGTGTGGGTCAAGATGGTGTTCAATGGCGGCGAGAGGAGGGTAGAGGCCTTTCTGAGAGAGGCCCTGATGCTCACTCGTGTATGCAGGAATGCCAGGGGGCTGCTGCCTGTCGAGAGAGTTGGTGTTGCCGTGCACAATGAACAGTGGAGATACGTGGCTGACAAGGGCTGGGAGCGACACCACGCTGCAGACGGAGACAACCAAAATGCTTGTGGCGTCATGGCAATGGACAGGACAATCAACTTTAACCATCTTCCTCTCAGCAACGTGGAAGAGGCTCTTTCTATGGGGATGTCTCATCTGTCTGACATGCTTGTGGGGCTGAAGGAGCGCGGCAGCGATGAAAAAAGGGAGGACCCGGAGGGGGACGCCACAGAGAGGGACCGTCAAGAGAGGGAAGATTCTCACAGGGTGGTTGCCGCGTTGCCTGACCGGGCCAGATATCTAGTGGTGAAGGTACTGTGTGGAACAGCACAGATGTGGAACAGCACTCTCAGGACCAGCACGGTATCTTTGGATGGATGCAGCTCCTATGGATAATCGACCTTCTCAAGTCGCTCGGTGATTCCACACACAGGGATTGACTCATGACGGAGAAAACAGTGTTTGTGGTGGTGCAGAGAACCACCACGATCAGCACCTCCTGCACAGCCACCTGTCTCTTAAGGACCTCTGCCTCCTCCCCTCTCCGTCATCAGCCTTCATTCCCCCGCCCCCTCCACCCCCGCCCCCACCGCCACCGGTCCCCACATTCCTTCCGCCACCAGAGCCCATCGAGCAGCCCCCAACACGTAGGCATGCAGTCGTTGAATATATGGATCGCCACTCTGTGTCTTTTGATCAGCAAAGTCGCCGCCCAGCCGGGGCCGAGGGAGAGGCAAGGCCAGGGGCAAGAGGAAATCAACAATAATGGCCAAGAAGGCGGCGGAGATCCTGCCTCCACCGCCACCGCAGCCGGCCGTGCCTGAGAGTGTCATTGAGGATATATTGACGCCTCCCCCGTCCCCGCCCGAGCCAATGCCCGTGAGGAGATTCCCTTTCGATGTATCGCCTGCATGGTACGCTTGGAGAGGCGTCCATGCCCCACTTCAGTTTGGCTGTGTTTAACAGGGTTGCCTTCATGGACTGGCAGGGCGTTGTGTGTGCGCCAAGGGATAATCGGGGGCAAGACCCAGTGATGGTCCAGGCCCCATTGCCCTCGCGGGAGCTCCGTGACTTCATCCAAGAACAGTGTAACAGAGAGAGGCTGTCGCTTGTGAAGAGAGACACGCCAATGACGGACAAGTGGTGGACGGCGTGGGTCAAGGCCCACAGTGACGAAGACTGGATGAAGGGCACCGAGGCGATGCGAGACACGATGGCCGACGAGACGCTGAGAGAAGGCCTCCTGGACAGCCTCTTAAGAGCTGCGCCCGAGAGGGTGAGTGAGTGAGACAGAGAGAGACATCCCCCGTCTCTGTGTGTGGATGCAAAGAGTTGCATCCAGGTCATCGAGTACGCGAAGGCTTCGCTGGGCGAAGCCATTGCGGAGAACCGCGATCGCGTGGGTGGGTGTGGCATCGGCCCCTGGACAGATGTGTATGCAGTCGGGATGGTCATGTATGAGCTGCTCACTGGTAGAGAACCCGTTTTGTCAGCCACACGTTTTGATTTCATGTGTCTGCTGCTCAGGCTCTTTGCCGCACTGCAGCACGCTGCCCGCGCTACAGGTAGACAGATATGAAGCCCGCAACTGCGCACACGAGCTGCACGTGTGTGTGTATGTGTTTGTGTGTGTTTGTGTCCTTCCGTCATACAGAAATCTCTTTTACACTTCTCCAGTGAGTGCGCCACAGCCTCAGCAGCTCCCCCCGTCCCGCCAACCAACACCCGCCCGTCGGCCCCAGACAACGAGTACCCCTTCCTCACATACGATGCATACCTCTGGCCCGATGTCTCGTCTCTCCCGCACACACGCCGTGTCTCATCGTCCAGCAGCGCCTCTCGAGCTGGTGGAGAGGACGGCAGCCCCTCTGTGCGTGACGACAGGAGCCCCTCTGCTCGGCTCTCTGTGAGCAGCTCCTCGGCCCGCTCGTCGACTGTGAGTTTCCCCGGCTCCTCGGTCAGGGACGAGCCGAGCGAGAGCATCGAGGACGCCTTCGTGGTAAGGATGCATGACGAACAGGTGGCAATTAAAAAGTCAAAGGCGATCGGGTACAACAGCCTGCAGAAGGCGGGGGCGGCTCTTGTCGTGGCCCTTGAGGATTATGAGAATGACATGTGGACATTCCCTCGGTGGGCCGATCTGCACTCACCCCTTCTTTTTCTGCCGGCAAGAAAGAAGCCAGAGACGACACACACAGAAGGGGCGGGGAGTGGGGTGAGGAGGAAAGGCGGACAGAGGTCTGTCGTTGCTAGGAGAGACGAGCTGCTAGACATCCTGCACGCTGCATGTGCAAAGAAACCATCTCAGAGATACCAGAGTGCAGGCGAGATGCGGCAACAACTGGTGAGTAGAATTATTTCAGAAAGACGGTTTCATGATACATCTCGTGGGTCTGTCTCATGCTGTCAACTGCAGGAGGCGTATTTGCGTGACATATTGTCGCTGTGCTTGCAAGAGTGACTATCAGGTCTAGCACTAGCAAGCACCGCTAGTCTTCATGTACGTGCACACTTCCAGCGCGTTCATGCAGCCTTTACAGGTCGTCCCACATGGACCTACCAGATGTCCTTCACCAATTCGACGTCCAGATGTCCTTCACCATTTCGACCCATATAATTGCCAAAAGCACCAGAAGGGCAACAACCGGATACCCATACAGTGTCCAGGGCAGAAATCCGAATAAGATCATGGAACCCCAACCCGGCAGGACCTGGACCACGGCTTTCTTGAATACAAGGGTCAGGCCCAAGATTGGGAAATAGGCGACGGCCGAAGTGATCATGACCTTATTGACACCGCGTATCATCCCCCGTGCGCCTGTCCATATACACACACAACAAATTGAATGTGTATGGACACTGTCCATCCAGACCAGCAGAGGACACAAAACACGCGTCTACGTGCGTGTGTGGGTTTTTTACTGTCAAGATTGATGTCGACACTGGGCAGTGGAATGCTGCTCAGCGACTCTGCATGGAGGCACCGATAGACACACACATGACATACATGCCTCTTCTCGTGCACATCTCGGCAGCAAGAGCTCGAGCGACACTCACGTTGCATCAGCTCGATCGCGCCGGGTGTCCTCTCCTCCTGCAGCCATGCATATCTCGCCTGCAGGTCATTGAGTTGCTCCTGCAGTGTCCTGATGTGCTCGAGCGACGCCCTTTCCCTCTTCTCGGACCTCGCCAGGCGGTCAGCCAAGGGCAAGCTGGCGTCATCTTCCCACTGAGTGAGTGCATGGACAAAAGCAGATCATCCATCCATTGGATGCATCAGATCAAGTCGCTGCGTGCTTGCCTGTGTCCGCTTGTCGCTCGGCGGTTGTTTGCCATGGCTGCGCACGACGGCCCGTACTGCCGCATCCATCGACGGCAAAAAAGAATGAATTCTCGGCAAGATCGACAGAAAGCCGAGCAACAAAAACAGCCGCATGGTATGCACACCGCCTTCAAACAGACTCATCCGTCGTTTTGTCGTCTCCTCGCGTTCGATTGCGAGCTCAGAGAGAGGTGTTTTGTCTCTCTCGAATATTTAGAGAAAGGCGCTCGGAGAAGGTGAAAAGAGATCTGTTGTGGTGGTCGATACAGCGATAGGTATGATGCGTGACTTTCTTGTCACTCACGCTCTCCTGGTGATGGCCCTGACAGGCGCGTCAGTCACAGGTGATACCCTCCCTCATACACACGGACAGACACACACCCCTTGACATCACCTCTTTCATGCACAACTCTGCGCGCGTGTGTGTGTGTTGTGTCCGTCGCTGCAGGCGAAACAGGCGAGGCACGTGATGAGGACATAATGGGGACAGTCAGTGTGAGTGAGAGGGCCGACTTGATGTACCCTCACCGAGTTCCGGACTCTCACAACTAATCTGGGGGGCGAGAACTCCGGTGGCCAAGATGACACTGGTGGGCAGACTTGGCAAACTCGCACTTGACAAT